CGGAACCACCTAATCGGTTCCACCTCCCTGCGGTGGGGGAGTAGGACCGAGAAGTCTAACCTCAACAGGAAGTGATCTGATCATGACAAGGGAGAAGTAACTATACCCCTTAAATCGAAATCATGTCTCCACTGCCCGAGAGGAATACCAAGTCGAGAGTGTGTCCTCCCCTTGAGATTAGAATGATGTTACTGTAAAGAGATTTATTTGTAATTAATGTAAATATGGACTGAGATGTCTGTCAAATGTTGATTTACCATGTTCAATGTTTTTAATTCCTTTTTTTAATTCAATAAAATTTATATATCTATATCTATATAAAAGAAAATACTTCCCAATACTTTTTGAAGTAAGCAGAGATGTGGAGTTTAATATCACCATGCCCTTCTTCCAGAGCCTAAGGTATATATGTGTACATGTGCCACATGCAACATACTTACAAAGGGAACAAAGCTTCATTTATATGGTTGTGATCATTATCTTGCATTTTTTGACCATCCCTCTCTGTGTGGTTTTTGTTGTCTTCTTCATCCCCATATTTTATTCCACTCCCCAGCAGCCAGTTTGGTATAGTCATTAAGACACCAGACTGGATGCCAGGAGACTGTGAATTCTAATTCTGCCTTAGGCATGAAACTGAGCTGGGTGACTTTGAGTTACTCCAGGAGTTCTCAACCTTGGCAACTTTAAGACTTGTGGACTTCAACTCCCAGAATTCCTCAGCCAGCTGAGGAATTCTGGGAGTTGAAGTCTACAAGTCTTAAAGTTGCCGAGGTTGAGAAGCCTTGGGTTACTCTCTCTCACCCCTCAACTCATGTGGTTGCTGTTGTGGGGAAAATAGGAGGAGGAAGGAGTATTGTATGTGTTTGACACCTTTAGTTATTTATAAAAATCAAGGCAGGATATAAATAAATAAACAAATATTAATTAAATGGATATAGAGTTGAACTAAGGAAGAGGAGTGGAGATCATTGCAAGACAATAGTAAAGGGTGAACAGTGATGACTAGAAAAGCATACAGAGCTTGGATGTAGGCACTAGAGGCATCAATTTTATATTTTAAAGTAATTCAAAAGGGATTCCCTAACTGTATTGAAAAGCCAGATTTAATACATATAATGCTAGACCAGGGGTAGGCAACCCAAAACACTTAAAGAGCCACTTGGACCCGTTTCCCACCAAAAACAAAACACTGGGAGCCGCAAAACCCTTTTGATATCTAAAATGAAGATAACACTGCATATATCCTTTTTTATCTTTATTATAGGTGTGTGTGTTTGTGTGTGGGGGGGTATTTGTTTGTGTGTATGTGTGTGTGTGTGTGTATATATGTATATGTATGTATGTATGTGTGTGTATATATATATATATATACACACACACACACACACACCCATACACACACACACATACAGACACAGGTTAAAAAAAGGATATATGCAGTGTTATCTTCATTTTAGATGTCAAAAGGGTCTCTCTCTCTCTCTGTCTCTCTCTCCCTCCCTCTCTATCTGCCCTTGGTCTACCACTCCTCTTCCCCCACTCTTTCTTTCTTTCTCTCTCTCTCTCTCTCTCTCTCTCCCTCCCTCTCTCTCTTTCTCTCTCTCTCTTTCTCCCCCCCCTCTCCTATCTGCTGCTCACCTGGCAAGCTTCAAGCTGTTGTCCAACAAGATCAGGGGTAGGCAACCTCGTCTCTTTTATGACTCATGGACTTCAACTCCCAGAATTCCTGAGTCAGCCTAGCTGGGCTAGCTAGCTCTTTCCTGCCCTTCCTGCTTCCTGCTTCCTGCAGAGACGCAGCAAAGGGAGGAGCTCCGCCCAGAAAGCTTTTCAGCTCCTCGGAGAACGTGTGAGTACACTCTCTTTTACACATACACACACACACACACACACACACACACACACACACACACACACACACAGAGACCACAAACACACACACAGAGAGAGAGAGAGAGAGAGAGAGAGAGAGAGAGAGAGAGAGAGAGAGAGAGAGAGAGAGATTGAAGCAGGGAAGCGCAATTGCCTCTCTCTGTCTCTCTCTCTCTCTGCAAAGCAGAGGAGGCTGGGAGCCACAGGGGAAGGCTCAAAGAGCCGCATGCGGCTCCGGAGCCGCAGGTTGCCGACCTGTGTGCTAGACAAACTACCCCACATGGGTGACCAAGAAACATGCAAACGGAAATCCCAAAGAACAATGTCACTCTTTCCATCAACAATTGACTTGCCGGTTATCAGCAATGAAAATTGGAAAATGGTTCTTCAACCAGGAGATCTTAGAAGCATAGAAATCCTGAAAACCCATTGCTCAAAGTGGCACTGTGTGGGGTTGTTACTATCTGGAAAACAAAGTGGAAAAAATTATATGGCTGAGTCTCATAAAGATTTCCTTTAGGGATGAATTTTAACCATCTCAGAGAATAAGTTTTAAATCTCATTCTAAGATTGTCTCTCAAATGAAAAAAATCTACTGAAATATTTTAAAAACCATTACAGAATCACAGACTGCAACTCCATATATTGCTCCTGTTCAGAAAACATACTTATCTGCTGAGCATAAATATTCTTGTGAATGTAGCTTGTTTATGATAGAATCTTCTAAATATTCTCCATTGGCACCATTCATTTAGAATACTGGGTTCTGGACTCTTTCTCCTAAACATTGTTTCACACAATAATCTTATGTTTCATGAAAACTATTCAACTAGTAATAGCAAGAAATTGTGCAAAGGAAGTTTTAAGTTTTCCCTTTGTAAGGAACCTTACTTTGGGGGGGTTAATCCTCATTCTTCACCAATACGAATTATTATCCGTCCCAGACTTGCAAATAGAGGGACAGAGAAAAGAAAGTATGCTCTCTTTCTGTTCAAAAAGCTTAATACTGATTGAAATATCACCTTGGTAAGTCTTTTTTATAGTTACTAATTGATATAGCCAGTCCAAATGGAGGCATCGCTCAGGATAGTCAGCTTGTTTTTATACCCAATGTACTTAAATTTGGCATATTGTTAATGGGACAATATGGAAAAGAAAACTCATATTTTGATTTATGAATGTTTCCAATTTTTTAAGATTGTCAGAAATGTTGGTTCACCTGTATGGGGAGAGATAGTTTGTTTGGCTAACTGCCTCGTCTGACTGAGTGCCAAAAAATGAATAATGCCACATTCAATATTCTAAATTTGTGTTCCAAATTCTGAATTCTGAATGAGCCACATGGAAGAACACTGATAAGTTACGGATTTTTTTACTCCAAGGATTCTCTTATGTTCAACCTTAAAAGTACTAGCCTTACTCAATTGAAAACATTTTATATGTGAGATGATTTAAAGCCATCCTCTGTTACAACACTGGCATTTCTTTTTAAATTCCAGCTTTCTCCATAAGGTCTGGAAGACAGGCAAATTAGTTAGACACATCTTTTAAAAAAGGAGAAATTCCCACCCTCCATTAAAAGTCCCAGTTCAACTCAAGCTATTAACATTAAGAAAAGAATAATAAATAGTTTATGATGAATATTACCCAAATATTTGAAAATGCCTCAAGAGGTCAGTCCTTCTTGGTAAGTAAAATGGATATATTTTAATGCATTTTTTAAAATTGCACCGTTCTTCATAAGAAATCAGGGAATTAACATCTTAACCTCAAATGTTAGAAAAACTTTGTTGAGAATGTTAGCATTTAATTTGTTCAAGTGAGGAAAAGCATTTCAGGTATTTCTTAGTATATTAATGGAGTAGATTTTCTATAAACTGATTTTTTTTAAAAAAATATATTTTGGATGGTTAATGCTAACAAGTTAACATATAACTGTAATAATCAGCATAACAATTCTATTTTCAATAATATTAGACTTTTTAAATAAAAAAAAGTTAACTTGAGCAAAATCAAAAAAAACAAAACCCTAATCAATTTCTGAAATCACTACCGAGTGAGCAAATCTGTGTCTGAAATAATATTTAAATTATGTTGATACTGAAAATTACAGGTATTATAAATTAATGATACACTGCTAAAGTGGTCTGAAGATTATTGCGAACAATCTGTTGAGCTCTTTTATGCATATGTATATTAATTAAGAAGTCACATCTGTCAGGTTAGCAATCTTATAAAACAGATCCAACTGAGATATGAAAAGACTTTTGAAAGTCTTATTGTAAGCTGGCCAAAGTACCTTTTTATGATGAGAGAGCATTTAGACAGTGTAAAAATCAACCAACAAATAGAATAAATCCTCAGGTATTGATGTACAAATAATTAGTGCCAGCATATAACTTGGGTTCACAGACATTTTATCAAATATATTAAGCACTGACTGATCGGATACCAGAACTGGAGAAGACAGTAGATGAAAAGCAAAGAAAACAGATCAAACCAGGTCTCAGGAGTTCTGGAGGCTATTATAATTAAAAATATCCATCACAATACAATGTACTTTTAAACTGTAATCCTTTATCTGGCATTTCTTTAAATGGGAACAATTTATTATGATTTCAATAGAGTCTGATGGCTACCTTGGTCACTATTCAAAACATCAGAGTGTCCAGAATTGAGTTTTCTAGGCAATGGTGAATATACAGGCAGTCCTCGACTTATGACCATAAATGAGTCCAAAATGTCTGTGGCTAAACGAGACAGTTGTTAAATGAATATTGCCCCACAGTTGTTAAGTGAATCACTGCAGTTGTTGAGTTAGTAACACGGCTATTAAGTGAATCTGGCTTCTCCACTGAGTTTCCAAGTCAGTTATCAAGTGTCTGAATTTTGATCATGTGACCGTGGGGAAGCTGCAACTGTTGTAAGTGTGAAAAATAGTCATAAATCACTTTTTTCAGTGCCGTTGTAACTTTGAACGGTCACTAAACAAACTATTGTAAGTCGAGGTCTACCTATATTAAGGAACAAAAACTTTTATTCCTTATTTTTGTAACTGAGGTTTTTTTTAATCAAGGTTCTAAATCTGTGCATTTCACTACTTTAGATGATCATCAGTATTGCTACAATCAACATATCCAAAGAGCTGATGTGGTGAAGTGGTTCAGGTACTCTTGGAACAGGGAGACCCAGATTCTAGATTATATTTAGCATAGAATCTTACTGTTGTTAGCCTTGTCTTAGCTGAGAAGACTGTTCTACAAGTAGAAGAGAAGTGGTGATGCAGTGGTTAGAAGACAATATAGCAGGCTAATTCTGCTGACTGTCGGCAGTTTGATTCTCACCGGCTAAGGCTGACTCAGCATTCCATCCTTCCAAGGTCATTAATATGAGGATCCAGATTGTTGGGGGCAATAGCCTGACTCTGTAAACTACTTAGACAGGGCTGTAAAGCACTGTGAAGGGGTATATAGATCTAAATGCTATTGCTAGTGCTATATATGCCACCTAAAACTTCTATATAAAATATGGAATATAATCTAATAAATACATTTGATACATTGCTTGCAGCTGAACACGAAGACTCACAGCTTCAAATGTCTGGATTACAGCACAACTTCTTTGCCTGCAGTTACCTTGGTAATATAGTTTTCATGACTATGATTTCAAATCGATTTTGGGGCAGTAAGCCAAAGACCTACACACACTTAAACCCTCAATATAACATATTTTCCTCTATGAATTTTGAGAATTGTAGTCTCAGAGACCTATTATGCCATCTTCCCTTGCCTCTTCTGAGTATAAAGCTATGGGAGGACCAGGTGATGGCTAGGAGTTTGGAAGTACTTGGGGCATTTTAGGGTTAAGTGTTGCCATACCCAGTAGCATTGCTTAACTGACTTAATAGTGGTAGGTCATTAGTGTTTTGGTCAATAAGTCTGAAACTTGGGAGATACAGCAGTTGGTTGGGAAATACAGCAGAATCACCTCCTATCCATGCTGTGAGGGTTGTTTTTTTTAATGTACCTATCTAGTCTCATTGTTACTGATTAGTGGACAAGACTGTGTCTTGGCATAATTCTGCAAAGGTCTTGTTATTTTCTCATCAATATGTGCACTGACCTAGCATAGTAGAGTTTATTATGATTATTTCCTTTTCTTATTTCTGAATGTATAAATGTTCCTCTCCCACTGTTCCAGAGAGACATAGATAGGAGAGAAATATATCTCCCTCTCCCGCTGGTGAGTTTCAAGGGTGTATGGGTGGCCAATATCTCTGGACTAAGATGGACCTTTGCCAGAGCAGCGCTGCAGTTATATTCTTAGAAGATCATTACGTCCAAGATCTAAAATTAACTTATTTCATCACTATTCTTACAGGCAAATTACTGCACATGCTAATTAAAAAGTACATGTTAGAGCAAAGATTAGCCCAGAAACTGTTTTAGCATTTTTTCTAGTGGTTCATCTTTTCTCCATAAAAAATAGAGCATAGTCATCCTGTATTTGTATTTGTTCTCCTTTTTCACAAGAATCTGCTACCCCGAAATTGGATGAAAATCTCATTAGTAAAGCTATAATGAAATAGCAGCCAAGCCCCTTCAAGCCTCTGTGCTTACGGCCATTTGCCTGTTGTCTGACTTTTCATCAGGAACCTGAAATTACCCATCAGGATTGCCATAAAAGGTAAGTTAGAAATTATGATCTCCACTGTGCTGCAGAACATGCTACAATCAAGCAGACCTTAAGGAAGCATCAAGGCTTGTATACAAGTGTGGTTTTGATCTCCATGTCACACGGCAACACAATGGTAAAAAAGGGACAAAGGGTCATGAAGGAAAATGGGGCAATATTGGAACAACACCACTGAGTATAAATCTGAAGCCGTCTGTTATTACTGAAATCAGCAATAACTAAACTCAGTTTGATAATAATTTGGCACAATATCAAAGATAATTTATTTTCAGCTGTTAATTATAATGATTTAGAATCATACAATGACCATGCAACTGACATTATTTTAACATCTGTGTATGATTGAGGCAAAACACATTCAGCGCTGATAAATGTGGGCCCTTCATCTCCTTTGAACATGAACTGAAGAATACATCAAGCAACAGAAAATAAGGCAAAAGTTGGAGCATCTTACTCTTCTGCCTGCAGTTTGCCATGACTGCAATTTTTCTGCTGCTGCTGCTGCTTTTCCACAACTAGATCCTGAGAAACTACAGGATGAGAAGACAGAGGGAAAGATTGATTTTAGGAAAAGCTGCAAGTGGATAAAAAGTTAAGAATCCTATTTGATTCTCTGCTACAAATGTAGCATTTAAAACATAGAGCAGAATTTTGGGGTAAGAATGATGCAAGAAATTCAAATGGCTACCCCAGTAAAGGCTATGAGATTCAAAAAAAATCAAAATCTGTTTTTCATTACTCAGATATTTCCTATTAATATCTGCAATGAAGCAACTGCAAATTGCACTCCTAAAAAGACAGCAAAATAAAAAAATAATTTTTATTTTTTACAAATAGCTGTAAAAAGCATTATTATTTGGAGTACATATACAAATAAATGCACAGTTCTTAAACATTTGAAAACCTGTTACAATATAGGATTGAATAGACTGTAAAGTCCATTTACAGTTTACATAAAGAATAAATACATAAATACATGCTAATTGCCAAGCATCTGATTTTTGATCACATAACTAGGTAGATATGGTCATAAGTGTGAAAACAGTCATAAGTCATTTTTTCCAGTGCCCTTATAACTTTGAACAGTCACTAAATGAATGGTTGTAAGTCAAAGACTATACCATGGAATGAATTCAGAGCCAATTCTAATCAATAGTTAATAAATCATCTTCTCCCAGTCTGGTGCCTTCCAAGTACTGTGTTTCCCCCCCAAAAAAGAGCAAACTGGAAAATAAGCCCTAACATGATTATTCAGGATCTTCGTAATATAAGCCCTACCCCCCAAAAATAAACCTCAGTTAAGATCGTCAACTAGATGGATGCATTTAGTACCTTATTTCCCTGAAAATAAGCCCTAATGCATCTTTTGGAGCAAAAATTAATATAAGACCCGGTCTTATTTTGGGGGAAACATGGTATGCAGAGATTGCCAGAATATTGATTTGGAGAAGACTGTAATAGAGTGCTACCAATGTTTTGTAGTTAACAGGTGCTGTTCTCAATATTTCTGGATATTTATTTCTATTATTCTTGAAACTTTTGTTATATTAGTGAACTGCTGAATGAACAAAGAAAGGACCAAGAAATGTTTCAAGGGACTTAGAAGAAATTTGAGAAATTTGCATGCAAGGTGAATTCAAATTTGACCATCTATCAACACCGGTCGTAGACTATCCATGATTTGGTAATCACAAATTTATTTCAGGTTAATTGAATTTAAAGCTTTTAATACACTTTTTCTCCAAAGGGATGCAAATTAATTTTATTGTATGTTATTTATTGGTAGCATTTGGCTCCCTTCTTCCCCCTCCCTAACAGAGTTTATGAACAGTTATTGGGGAAAACTAACGTTCCGGACAACTTAAACTATGAGATTATTTCTAGATAAAGCAGAAATATTTGCTAGTTCCCCCTCCTCCTTCTGTCTTGTTACTTTAACACATTACATGTTATAATGTAATCTATGAGATAGAAACAATACTAGGAGCCCTAATTAAATTAAAAGTAATTACCACTCGTACAGATACGGCATTCAATTGAGCAGCTGCAAGTTGATATTTTGTCATGCCCAGTTTATCTATATGGCTGATTCTTTGTATCAGTTATTAATGGTGTTTACTCAGTGGCCAAGAAGAGTGGAAGCAAATGGGAATGAGAAAATGAATAAAATTATTTCTTTTAAAAGAGGGTAAGAATTATAGGGAGATGATTAATACAAAATTTCTATTACGATTAAGATATAATCTCATTTTTGAGACTGCTAAGTCACAATTGGTTTCAGTTGTTCATAACTGTACCTCAAAATAAGTACTATTAAAATCTATGGGAATTATTTGAATAGCTATGCTTAAGACTGTAACATCAAATTAGCAAGAAAAAAATAATTCAAATTTATGAAAGAAAATGGTGCTGAATCCAACTCTCTGCAGATTTATTTATTTATTTATTTACAAATATTTATATGCTGCCCAATCCCAAAGGACTCAGGGCGGCGTACAAGGTTAAAAACAGTCATAAAAGAATAAAATAATCCAGTCATACCGCGAGTCCGATCATATCCTGGCCCCCCGGGGACATCAGCCCCAGGAGAGTTTTAACGGCTTTCTTAAAGGCTGGCAGGGTGGGAGTAGTTCGAACCTCGGGGGGAAGTTGATTCCACCAGGTCGGAGCCACCACAGAAAAGGCCCTTCCCCGACATTGTCTGGCCGACAGGACCTGAAGGAGGCCCAATCTATGGGACCTCACCGGTCTCTGGGAGCTGTGCAGCAGAATGCGGTCCTGTAAGTAACCTGGCCCTATGCCATGAAGGGCTTTGAAGGTGATAACCAACACCTTGAATTGCGTCTGGAGACCCACAGGAAGCCAGTGCAGCTCGCAGAGGATAGGTGACACGTGGGCGTACCTTGGCGCGCCCACAATCGCTTTCGCGGCTGCGTTCTGAATCAACTGCAGTCTCTGAACGCCCTTCAAGGGTAGCCCCATGTAGAGCGTGTTACAATAATCCAGTCTTGAGGTGACAAGGGCATGAGTGACTGTGAGTAAAGCCTCCCGGTCCAAATAAGGCCGCAACTGGTGCACTAGGCGAACCTGTGCAAAGGTCCCCCTGGCCACAGCCAATAGATGTTGTTCCAAATTTAGCTGTGAGTCCAGGAGGACACCCAAGTTGCATGCCTGCACTGAGGGAGGTAAATTTGCCCCCCCCAGGACTAAAGATGGACCATCCAGTTGGCCTTTGGGAGGCAAGACCCAGAGCCACTCGGTCTTGTCAGGGTTGAGTCTAAGCCTGTTCACCCCCATCCAGACCCTCACATCTTCCAGGCACCGGCACATCACGTCGACTGCTTCACTGAAAGGACACGGGGTGGAGATATACAATTGGGTATCATCCGCATACTGATGATACCTCACCCCGTGTCGCCGAATGATCTCACCCAGCGGTTTCATGTAGATGTTAAAAAGGAGGGGGGACTTCCGGTGGATTTTGCGCGCGCGATGGCGGCTACTTTGTAGCCGTCTCTCCTGGGTAAGTGTAAGAACCGCTATGAACAGCAGACACCAGCTGTTCAGCGGTTCAAAATCCCCCTCCCGGGCAAAGGGGGGGGGTAGAGAGTGTCTGAATAGTGGTAGAGCCTCTTTTGCACCCCCCAAGTTTTTTTTGGGGGGTGAAAGGAGTGCTCCCACGGAGTTCAGACTTGTCTCCGCTTCCCAGCTGTTTTTGTCCTCAGGGACAAAACGAGCCGTTGCAAACACCTCCGTGCTTAAAGAGAACTGGTGAGTTTTTTTTTATAAACGGACAGAGCTGAGTAGAGGATTTAGTTTTTGCTTTCTTTGATTTATTTGGATTTTAAGTTTTAAGACTTGCTTCTATTTTTATTCTCTCTTTTTATTTTTTTTTTCTTTGTTGAAAGGGAAAGTAAAATGGCGATCGGCAAATCTCTCGGTGTTTTTTTTTTGAAGTTAGAATGCTGACCGGCAGGCTTTTTGGTGTTTCTTTTTCTTTCCTTTCCCTTTCCCTTTTTATTTTCTTATGATTGGAATGGTTGTTTTTGGTATCTCTAAGTATTTTTTTTTTGGAACGGACTTTTTCTATTTAATTATTATTATTATTTTTTTCTTCTCCCTTCTTTTTATTGTAATGACTCTTTTTTGAAGGACTTTTTTCTGTTTAATTTTTTGCAATTTTTAAGAAGGAGTAAAGCTTTTTTTAATTCTTTTTCTCTTCCCTTTTTTTTTTCTTTTCCCTTTTTTCTTTTTATTATAATGACCTTCTTTGGAGGGAGTTATGATTTTTGAAGGAATTTTTATAATTTTTTAAGAAGGGCTAAAGGTTTTTCTTTAAGATGGCTCCAAAGCGTCCAGGGATTTCTACAGCTTCTAAATCAACAGTTTCACCCTCTTCTGGGGGTCAGCTAATAACTATGAAGGATTTGCAAAACATGATGGGAGATGTTATAATTCAAATTAGGGCAGAAATGAAAAAGATTTTAGAGGAAAATAATAAGATCTTGAGACAAGATTTTGTTTTGGCTTTAGAAGGAGTTGCTTCTGTTCTTGAAAAGGTGAACTCCCATGTGGAAGAGGTAGCTGAAAAAGTGGACATAATGGAGGGGAAAATTGAAAGTATGGAAAAAGAAATGGAAAATGAGATTCTTATGCTTCAATATGGACAAATGGAATATGCCTTAAGAATCAGAGGCCTGGAAGAGTCTTTGCAAGAAGATTTGAAAGAAATGGTTGCAAAGGACTTTGCATTGATTTTGAATAAAGAAAAAGAGGGAATACTTAGTGAAATTGAAAAATTATTTAGGGTTAACTCTGTGGTGGCAGCACAGAAGAATCTGCCAAGAGATGTGGTAATTTACTTTGGTAAAAGATCCTTACGCAATCAAATTGTGCAAGCCTATTATAAGAAGAGATTTCAAATTGCTTCACAAGATGTCATAATTTTTAAGGAGATCCCATCTAAAATTTTAAGAAGAAGAAAG